TTTGGTGTCATCTGCAAACTTGATGATCATGCCTTCTAGCCCTTCATCATTCTGAGTCATTAATAAAGATGTTGATTTGAACTACAACCCTGTACTTGGAGAAACAGGACAGTGAACCAAATATAATAATTCTACCCCCAATAGACCCATTAATTTTTTTTTTGTGTCAGGGGCAACTTGACAAATTGCAAGTCGCTTCTGGTGTGAGAGAACTGGCTGTCTGCAAGTACATTGCCCAGGGGATGTTTTACCATTCTGTGGGAGGCTTCTCTCATATCCCCACATGGGAAGCTAGAGCTGAGAAGTTTGCTCATCTCACTCCCCGAATTCGAACTGCCAACCTACGGATTGAACTGCCAACCTATCAGTCAGCAGTCCTGCTGGCAAAAGGGTTTAACACATTGCACCACCACAGGCTCTACCCATTAAAATAAATGGTACTTATTCATCAGGCTGGCATAAATCCCCTTGATTTCAATGGCCTAAATCCAATACCAGTCCTGATTAGCATAGACATATTAAATGAATGACTGAAGTTGACTATGATGTAAATGTTATTGATTCATGGCTTTACTCTGGTTGCAGGCTAGCAATTAGATTTTGGGAGGGGGCTTGAAAAGCAGTTATATAGCTTAATACTGCAAGGAGAGGCTCTCCTTATGCAGCTCTGCCAGGAAATTGATGTTTTAGACCTTATCTGCCCTTTGCAGTTATTATGTTCTCTAACAACCAAACTGGCTCCATTTAGTCTTAGTTGCTACAAACAATAAAGAGTAATCATGAACACGAATGAGAGTCAACAATTATCACTGATAATCTTGAATATAATCAACCCATGACCTTTCTCCCTTCCCTGTTTTAGGGAAGCAGTAAAAGCACTAGAGGACACTGAAGCTTTCTTCTAAGTCGTACAGTCATCAAGCTAGAGATATTCAACATGAGTAAGCCTGTTTAGTGGGGGAAATCCTATTTTATGCAGACCTTTTCAAAACTGAAGCATAGCATAAATATTGTGTGCACTCCCTCATTGTGACAGCCTTTAGCTCTGTTGTTGAATTTTGGAACAGAGAGCAAGAGTGGGATGAATTTGAAAACATGAAGAAGGAAAGCAGAAACCGAACACAGACAGTAGGGTATGGTGGTAGGAGGAATAGCAATAAGTTTGGAGCAGAGGAAGAACAACATGATTAAGGCCAATTTGATCCTGCCCAGAAAGGTCAGGATCAGAATTTCTCTAAAGCTCAGACAGGAGAGCATTTGCAAGTGTTATATAGCACCACATTAATTCTGATCCTCGTCTCCTTCTGCTACCAAATATTCATAGCACTATCTTCTGCATGTCTGACCCAGAAGAAAGTCTTACTGAGTGAATATAATAGTAGTAAAGGTAAAGGTAAAGGTTTTCCCTTGACATTAAGTCTAGTCATGTCCAACTCTGGGGGTTGATGTTCATGTCCATTTCTAAGCCAAAGAGCCAGCGTTGTCCGTAGACAGTCCAAGGTCATGTGGCCGGCATGACTGCATGGAGCAACATTACCTTACCACTGGGAGTTTTGGGAAGGTAATGTGAGTATTGATCTACTCACATTGCATGTTTTCAAACTGCTAGGTTGGCAGAAGATGGAGCTAACAGCAGGAGCTCACCCCTCTCCCTGGTTTTGAACCACTGATATTTTGGTCAGCAAGTTCAGCAGCTCAGCATTTAACCTGCTGCACCACTGGAGGCTCTATATAATGGGATAATAGTAGGCCGAATGGAGGCCCTGGTGGCGCAGTGGGTTAAACCAGGGGTCCTCAAACGAAGGCCCGAGGGCCAGACATGGCCCTCCAAGGTCATTTACCCAGCCCTCACTCAGGGTCAACCTAAGTCTGAAATGACTTGAAAGCACACAACAACAACAACAATAATCCTATCTCATCAGCCAAAAGCAGGTCCACACTTCTTATTGAAATACTAATAAGTTTATATTTGTTAAAATTGTTCATTTTAATTGTTTTTGAGTTTGTTTGTTTGTTTGTTTGTCTTTGCACTACAAATAAGATAAATGCAGTGTGCATAGAAATTCATTCATGGTTTTTTTTTTCAAATTATAATCCGGCCCTCCAACAGTTTGAGGAACTATGACCTGGCCCTCTGTTTAAAAAGTTTGAGGACCCCTGGGTTAAACCTTTGTGCCAGCAGGACTGAAGACCAACAGGTTGCAGGTTTGAATCCAGGGAGTGCAGATGAGCTCCCTCTGTTAGCTCCGGCTCCCAATGTAGGGACATGAAAGAAGCCTCCCACAAGGATGGTAAAACATCAAAACATCCAGGTATTCCCTGGGCAATGTCCTTGCAGACAGCCAATTCTCTCACACCAGAAGCAATTTGCAGTTTCTCAAGTTGCTCCTGACACAGAAAAAAAGTAGGCTGAATTCAATCTTATGGATGTTTCTTCATACATATGGCTGACTACAGTAAAATTCAGCAGAAATTAAAATGAAAATTATATTTTATATTTTCTTCTTCTGATAATGATCCCGTTACATATCTACTGCAGTGCTTGCCGCAAAAAAGGGAGGCAAGGTCAGTGTCCATCAGTGAAGAGCTATATCCAGGACTGTCTCAAGACATTCTACTGCCGGAGTCAGCAGCAGCAAATGCATGCACACATTCAAGGTGCAAAAAGGTTGTTCAAGCTATTTTGGCCACTTAGCAGTAAAAATTCAACGATCACTGTCATTTCATGATATTCCCATCCAGCTGTCCTTTTATGATGTTCCAAGTCAGCTGCTTCAGACAGCTCTGCCTCACGGTGCCTCACTTTAGAGAAAGGAGATTCCTCAACAAGCAATTCCACCAACCTCTCTGTATCTTGCTATAATAATGCAAACATTCCACCATCGTTCCATGTGCACTAAACCTTTCAGGCAGACAATGGCCTTGGGCTGCTTCTCATTGACTCACCCTTCAGGACTGCTGGGTGCTTTTCTTAGACTCTAATAAATTATACATAGCATTGGCTGTAACCTGAAGTCAGCCCTAACCTCTCTTTCAGGATGGTTTTGTCCAGTATCTTCAGCACATAATAGCCATGCTGGGCCAAACCCACTGGGTCCAGCATTCTCTTTCCAACATGTATTGACAGGGTGCCTATGGGAAACCCACAAGTAGGACAGGGACACAAAAACAGTCTTCTCTTATCAATTCCCAGCAATCGGCATTCAGAGGCATACAGCTTCTGACACTGCTGGTAGCATATGTCCAACATGACAAGAAACCGCTGATGGCTCCATTGCCCATGAATTTGCCCGATCAAAGCCATTCAAGTCAGTGGTCATTCCTAAATCTAGCCATGATGGCTACTAACTGCATTAAATCTTGTTTTGTAGTAAATCTTACACATTTTGCAACTGGATGCCAGAGTTTGACAATGCACTAAAGAAAGATGTACTTATTTTCCTCTGTCCTGAGCTGACCTTGGCTGGAATTCTGTTGGTTAGTTCCAACCTACTGAAGTCTTTCCCCACCCCCGTGCCTGAATGTTGTGAACACTCAAGTAAATCCAGCTGGTTCAATGGATCCCAGAGGCACAGTGGTTTAAACCATTGTGCCAGCAGGACTGAAGACCAACACATCGGAGGTTCAAATCCAGGGAGAGCACAGAGGAGCTCCCTCAGTCAGCTCCAGCTCCCCATGTGGGGACATGAGAGAAGCCTCCCACAAGGATGGTAAAACATCAAAAGATCTGGCATCCCCTGGGCAACATCCTTGCAGATGGCCAATTCTCTCACACCAGAAGCGACTTGCGGTTTCTCAAGTTGCTCCTGACACAAAAAAGTTGAACAGACCTTGTTTGGAATTCTGCTGGTTAGTTCCAACCCATTGAAACCTCCACCCCACACTGGAAGTATTTTGTTGTCATGTCAGAAGTGTCTTGAGAAACTGCAAGTTGTTTCTGGTGTGAGAGAATTGGACATCTGCAAGAACATTGCCCAGGCAACACCCGGATGTTTTACCAGACTATGAGAGGCTTCTCTCATGTCTCCAAAGTGTTAAACCAACATATAAGTAAATCCAGTAAGTTCAATGGATCTACATGAGTTGAACTGACCATGTTTGGAATTTTCTTGGTTAGTTCCAACACATTGACTCGTTATCCCTCTGAATGCTAAGTCAATATATAATTAAATCCAGTTAGTTCTGTTGGTGTTCCAGTTGGGAGTAACAAAGGAACTGAGACCCAAACATCCTAATATTTTAAGGAGGATGGGCAGGAGAGAAATGGTTCCCTTTCTACTGACTTAACATAATCTTTAATATCTTTGTTGAATCTGCTTTTTTCTTTCTCCATTAAAAAAACCCCATATACTAACATAGAATTATAAAGTTGGAACAGATCTTGTGGGCCATCAAATCCAATCCCCTGCCAAGAAGCAGAAAAATTGCATTCAAAGCTCCCCCCAACAGATGGCCATCCAGCCTCTGCTTAAAAGCCTTCAAAGAAGAAGCCTCCACCACACTTTGGGGCAGAGAGTTCCACTGCTGAATAGTTCTCACAGTTAGGAAATTCTTCCTCATGTTCAGGTGGAATCTCCTTTCCTGTAGTTTGAAGCCATTGTTCCGCATCCTAGTCTCCAGGGCAGCAGAAAACACTTCCCAAGTGTCTAGGACTGTGAGACGTATCAGCGAATAATGTGTGCAGATCCCAGTAAGGTGGCCTTTTGCATTATTATTATTATTATTATTATTTACTGGTACAAGCCAGTAAAGGTGGTCCCAGTGGTGATCGGCACACTAGGTGCAGTACCTAAAGACCTTGGCCTGCATTTAAAACAATTGGCACTGACAAAATTACCATCTGTCAGCTGCAAAAGGCCACCCTAACTGGATATGCATACATTATTTGCTGATACATCACACAGTCCTTGACACTTGGGAAGTGTCTGATGTGTGATCAAATACAAAGGCCAGCATAGTGTTCTTCTTCACTGTGTACTCATCTTGTTATATATCAAATAATATCCAATAATAATGATATTTATTTATAACCCGGCCTCTCTCCCTGAAGGGACTCAGATCACACAGTTGCCATTTTCTTCCACCCTCTAGCATTCCTCATAGTGAGAGGAAAAAGAAGAATTCATGGGAAAGGATCATTTCTGAAGAAGTGTGTGGGAGGAAAAGGGAGACCAAAGAGAAGCAGCTAGGATGCTCGGTCAGTTAGATGGACGATACTTACCTGAGAAGAACTGGCTGATGGAGTGAGGCAGAAGTGTGAGGAAAGCCAGTGGGCTGGCAAAGGAGGTGGAGAGCACAGTAGAAATATAAGCCACCCCGGCCACCATGGAATCGAGGCAAGCCAAAGAGGTGTGCAGGCAGAACATGACAAAGTTCCGCATGTTCCTGCTCCCAATGCAGTTCCCTGTGAAGAAACAGTGGTGGTCGTGCCTTTGGGTGACTCTGGCACACAGTTTGCAGAAGTGAGTGCCAGCAGGCAACACTGAACCAGGGTACCCATTCCCACCCTCTTCTGACTCAGGGGCCACTGGTTTGGCTAAGCCCAGGTCCTCCTGAACACCCAAGTCCTCAGGGGTGTTCTGTATCACAAGGATATAGTTTCCCAGAGCATTGGCTGAGAGGAAGAGGAAGAGGGCTCCGTGCAGGAGAGCAGAGGAGAAGAGAGGGGTGGCCGAAGGGTCTTGGAACATGCTGGGGATGAAAAGAAAAAGCTGGAGGCCAACGGTCACGATGGAGATGCACAGGAAATAGGCAGGAGCCACCACATTGAGGAACCTGAGCACCAGCATAGTGGGTTACATTCCTGCAGAAGGGAGAAAGAGAACAAGCGGAGAACAAGGGTCAATGGGAGCCCCTCAGCTGTGGAGATTGTCTTGCTTCCCTGGCACCCAGGAGTGCATCTATTTATTTACAGTATTTATATTTCACCTGTCTCAACCCAATCACAGAACATACATGTGCAGCAAACATCCAATGCCTTTTTATATACTTGACAAAGCAGACAATTGTACATAGATTGAGGGATATAGGCTTTCCCATCTTCAGCATCCTGGAAGCTTGTGCTCGGATCCAGTCATGGGGAGGAGGGTGCTGTCACTCCATCTCCTTGTTTGTAAACTTCCTCCTTTTTTGATAAATCATCGTCATTTTCCAGGTGCCTTTAAAATCCTGCTTTTAAGCGGTCCCTGTTTATCTACTCACATTTTGCTTTTGAACCACTAAGAAGACAGAAGATAGGCTAAAGGTCAGGAGCTCATCCTGACCCAGCCTTTCAACCTCCTGATTGACAAAATGTATTGCAGCTCATGATTTAACCTGCTGTGCTAAAGCCCGGTATCAATCTCTATCCATTCTACACTGTAATGGATGCAGATTAACACCACTTGAACTTCTATGGTTTAGTGCTCTGGAATCATGGAAGTTGTACCTTCACAAGATCTTAAGCCTTCCCTGCTAAAGAGTGCTGGTGTCTCAGCATGGTTCCACAACATTGACACATGTCAGTGAAAGTGGTATCAAACTCAATTCATTCTACACTTGGTTGTTGCAAGTTTTTTGGGGGCTATATGGCCATGTTCTAGAGGCATTCTCTCCTGGTGTTTCGCCTGCATCTATGGCAAGCACCCTCAGAGGTTGTGAGGTCTGTGAGGTCATTCTACATTGTTGATGCACCCTAGATCAGTGTTTCTCGACCTTGGGGTTGGGACCCCTGGTGGGGGTTGTGAGGGGTGTATCAGAGGGGTCACCAAAGACCATCCGGGGAGTCATCCTGCTCCCCGGATTCGAACTGGCGACCTTTTGGTCAGCAAGTTCAGCAGCTCAGCAGTTTAACCTGCTGCATCACCGGGAGCTCCAGTTATGAAGTAGCAACAAAAATAATTTCATAGTTGCTGGTCACCGCAACATGAGGAACTGTTGTGACATGAGGTTGTGACATGAGGAAGGTTGAGAACCACTACCTTAGATCATCTCCTAGTGCTAGTGCTGGTGATAGGAAGCCTTCTCCTTCCCCCAGCTCCTTTTCCATTTCCCTTGTCTTGAGTCTGGTTTCCCCATTACCTTACAAAGGTAAAATCTAGCACCAGACCTTGAACCAAAAGCTACATTCACACGGACCTCGAACAGACAAGAGTTCTTTCTCTCACCCTGGACATTCCAGATAAATAAACCCCATTTTTCCTGGTTTCCAACAAACCTCACAACTTCTGAGGATTCCTGCCATAGATGCAGGTGAAACATCAGTAGAGAATGCTTCTGGAACATAGCCATACAACCCGGAAAGCACACAACAACCCAATCCAGCACCAGCTCACACCGATACATCAACACAGGCAATATAAACCCAATTTTCCTAGGTTCCAATAGACTTCACAACCTCTGAGGCTGTCTGTCATAGATGCAAGCGAAACGTCAGGAGAGAATGCTTCTGAAACATGGCCATACAGCCCGGAAAACACACACACCGATACATCAATGCTGACAATATAAACCTCATTTTCCTAGGTTCCAACAGACCTCACAACCTCTGAGAATGCCTGTCATAGATGCAGGCGAAACGTCAGGAGAGAATGCTTCTGGAACATGGCCCGAAAAACCTACAACAACCCAGACATATACCTTTCGTTTCCCAGCTTAGTGGTCCTCACGCCGGGAAACCAAACTCTTCGGGATAAGGAGACCTCATTCCTTTTCGCCCCCCAAGACCCTCAAATCGGAACCCCAGAGAAGTCGGCAGGTTCTCAGCCATCTCCGAAGCTTGTCTTTCGGGTCCTCTGCCTCCCTGCCAGTTGCATCGCCTCCCTTTTCCCCGTCTTTCCCTTGCTCCCAGCCTAAGAGACTGACTTTCCTGGGAGCAAGTCCCTCTTGCGCATCTCAAGGCTTACTTCCGAGGAGGCTCTGCGATTCCCAGAGTTTCTGGTGCCTGTTGTTGTTATTGATTATGTATCACCAGGGCGGGAGGGAGGGGGGGGAGGAAGCGCAGGGTGGCTGTTCTAATCCGCTGCAATACGGAGAGAGAAAATAAAACACCCCCCAATGCTCTGATTTCGCCCGGAAAGCCCTCCATCTGCAACCGGCTTGATTTACCTCGTCGGCGCTTGTCCTGAGAGGCAAGGGAAGGCGGAGAGCAGCGGGTGAAGGGCTTGTCCAGCTTCCAGCGGTGCAGCTGGGAGGACCTCCGCCTCCGTGGACGTGTGAGTGCGTGTCTATGTGTCTCTCCGTGTGTGTGTGTGTGTGTGCTATCGCCTCGCAGTCACTCAACGCGAAACATTGCCCACTCACACCCACCGCCGGGGCGCAGGCACCCAAACAGCGAGGTTCGCCTCCAAGTCTAACCTCTCTCCCCGCTCTCCCCTTTCCCTCTCTGCTCTGGAATGTCTCTCCCAAAAAACAAATCCGTGAAACCAGGCAACCAAAGGAAGCAGTCTGGGCTACAGCGGCAGGCTGGGCTTTGAGGGCATGCCTTCCTTTACTCTCTCCGGACGAGAAGGCCAAACTTAGGAGCCGCAGCCCTTAAGGGGAGGAGGCCCGCTCCTGGCACACCTTGCTCCCGGGATCACAACCCTCGGGGGAACTTTTTCCCCAGTTCCTTTTTTCCACTTTCATCCTGCTGCCAGGCTTCGGGACCTGAGATCCTTCTCCCGCTAGATTCCAACTCCCAATCCGCCCAGCTGGTGGGACCAGCCCATAACCTTGAAGTCTCCTTGCTGAGGTTGTTCCGAGTTTTCCGGATGGTATGGCCATGTTCCAAAAGCATTTCTCTGAGAAAGGAAGGGAAGTCATGCTACCCCTCCATTCTGCCTTGGTAAGACCACACCTGGAATATTGTGTCCAATTCTGGGAACCACAATTCAAGAGAGATATTGACGAGCTGGAATGTTTCCAGAGGAGGGCGACTACAATTATCAAGGTTCTGGAGAACAAGCCCTATGAGTAGCGGCTTAAAGAGCTGAGCATGTTTAGCCTAAAGAAGAGAGGGCTGAGAGGAGATATGATAGCCATGTATAAATACGTGAGAGGAAGTCATAGGGAGGAGGGAGCAAGCTTGTTTTCTGCTATCCTCGAGACTAGGACGCAGAACAATGGCTTCAAACTACAAGAAAGGAGATTCCATCTGAACATTAGGAAGAACTTCCTAACTGTGAGAGCCGTTCAGAAGTGGAACTCTCTGCCCCAGAGTGTGGTGGTGGAGGCTTCTTCTTTGGAAGCTTTTAAACAGAGGCTGGATGGCCATCTGTTGGGGGTGCTTTGAATGCAATTTTCCTGTTTTTTGGCAGGGGGTTGGACTGGATGGCTAATGAGTTCTCTTCCAACTCTATGATTCTATGATTCTAGACCTCAAAACATCTGAGGATGTCTGCCATAGGTGTAGGCAAAACATTAGGAGAGATTGCTTCTGGAACTTGGCCATATAGCCCAGAAAACTCACATCAGGAACAGCTAATCACCTATCAATAAAGGATTTCCTCAGGCAGTAAGAAGCCAGACCCTGAAACTGCTAGGCTAAATGCTAATCGGTATTTCTAAAAAAAACTCTAAAATCGTAACAGTAAATAAAGAACAACACTCAAAAACAGGGGAATTCCAGACAAGAAACAATCTATCTGGGCAAGCTAATCAGTTCCCAACAAAGGATTCCCCCGAGCAGTAAGCAGCCAGACCTTGAAACCGCTAGGTCATTAAATGCTAATCAAGGTGGCCAATGGAAACATTCACACCTATCTCCAACAGACAAGAGTCCTTTCTCCCATCCTGGATATTTCACAGATATAAACCTCATTTTCCTACTTTCCAACAGACCTCAAAACCTCTGAGGATCTCTGCCATAGATGCAGGCGAAAGGTCAGGAGAGAATGCTTCTGGAACATTGTCATACAGCCCGGAAAACTCACAACAACCCAGTCATGAAAGCCTTCGACAATACATTCTCCTTGCTGGGTTTCTCGCTGCTGCTTCCCCAACACCGTCTTTACCTGGGCGCCTGGAGCAGAGGAAGGGCTGCGGTGCCTTTCAGCGTTGGCCAGCCTCAGGACAGCCTCTTCCTTTCTTTCTCTTTCTCCCTCCAGCAGTGTGAACCTTGGAGAAATCTTTGGAAGAGCCCCCAACACTCGCCATTCATCCCGAGCCCTTCTGTAGCGCCTGCGGATCCGCCTTCCTTTAAACCGGGGAGCTGTCCGCCTCCTTAGTGCTGAAGCGGAGGAAGGAGGCGCTTGCCTGAGCTCCGCAGGGAGCTGTCCCTTCAGCACCAGCAGCACCAACCCAAGCTCTGCCCTCCCTGGAGGGATCAGAGAATCATGGAGTTGGAAGAAACCCCAGGGGCATTCAGTCCATCCCTCTGCCATGCAGGAGCACTACAAAGCACTCCCCATTGATGGCCATCCCCAGGGAGATCAGGATGCCCCCATCTCTGCTTGCCTGTTACAAGCAGCTTAAAACCTATCTTTGCTGCCAGATGTTTGGGAGGTACTATTGCTGTGAAGGTTGTGGGTGGGATTTTGGAAGGTTGGTGAGTTTTAAATGTAATTTTAATTGTATTAATAATTTTTATTTATTTATTTATTTGACTAGTCATATGACCATTTCAAAATACAACGTGAATAAAATACAAGGCAAAAAGGAGAGGACAGTAGCTGATCTTTTATTTACAGTCAAGAGTCTTATTGTCCTGGTTCTTCTTTCAGGAAATGTGCTCTTTTCTTGATAGCTTTCAGAATAAAAAGGCTTACTCTGATTATGGTGGCTCTTTCTTGTCCTTGCAAGATGAATGTTAGAAGATCATTTTTGTTGAGGGACCTGCAGCTGGATAATATTGGATGTAAATATCTGTATAGCAGTTCAACATATGCTGGACAGTCAATTAAGAAATGTTCGATATCTTCCACTGTTTGTTCTCCCCATACACAGAATCTCTTACTTCTTGGGATGTTACAGTAATCATAATACCAAGTTGTTCAAACCTAGCCCTAGTATATATTCTTCTTAAGGGTAATGGAAGTGGGATAGTCAGATAGTGTTCTAAATGAATATTTCTTTTGTTTATATCAATCCCTATATTATTATTGTGTCATATTATTATGACCCGCTTGAGTTCCTATGAGGAGAAAGGTGGGATAGAAATCATGATGATGATAATAATAAAAATTGTTGCACCCCACCCCAAAATCACCTTGACCTCAACATCAGCCAAAAATTCAAAAGTGACAGTAAGACAGTTTATTGAGGGGAAAATACATATAAAAAGGCAAAGTCACCTTAAGAAATAAGAAAGGCAAATGGGGAAAATAGTCAACAAGTAATAAGCCAAACCAAACTGGCAATAAGAAAAAGTACTCCAAAGGTAATAATCCAAACAGCCCAAATCTGTTCCACAAAACAAGCTACAGGAAAACCAAAATCAAAACATAAGCATAAATCCAGGAAACAAGAATTAAAACATGAATATGAATCTAAAACGGTTCTGGCCCAACATATCTATCCGAACGTATCTCAGCCTATCAGCCCACCAGGACCCTAAGATCTTCTGGAGAGTCCCTGCTCTCTGTCCCTCCGGCTTCAGAAGTGCGGCTGGCGGGAACGAGAGACAGGGCCTTCTCTGTGGTGGCCCCTCGGCTTTGGAATGCCCTCCCTATAGAGATAAGATCAGCTCCCTCGCTGTTGGTATTTCGAAAAAAACTTAAGACATGGATGTTTGAACAAGCATTCGGGTAATCCGGTGCGATGAAGTTGATGACAAGGACTGGTAATTATTGACGATGAATTCGGATTATGATTTTAACTAAGAGATGCATTGGTCGGTATTGGTGGCCCGATACTGTGTACTGTATATGTTTTTTATGCTTTTAAATTGTTTGATTATTGTTGTTTTTAAGTACTGTTAACCGCAATGAGTCGCTGTTGTAGGCTGAGATATTGCGGTATATAAGCATACAAAATAAATAAATAAAAATAAATAAATAAAAACAACACAATAGAAACTTCTTAAAACATGAATCCAAACTCCCAAGATCTCAGACCCTAAATATGAACTAGAAATGAGGCTCGAGATCCTCACTGTTTTTGCAGCATTGCCTGATCTGAATTCCAAAGGAAACAATTCTCTGATTTGAGGTCCACAATCCATTAAGTCATGCCTGTGATTTTGACTACCTTGCCTTCGAGATTTCTCCCAAAGAAGGCACCTCCACCATACTTCGGGACAGAGAGTTCCATTGTTGAACAGCTCTCAGAATTAGGAAGTTCTTCCTCATGTTCAGGTGGAACCTGAAGCCTTGTACTACAACCCAGAAGCACACAGTTCAATTGATGCATAGTTCTAGTCCCAGTGACTCTTGAGAAACATCTTCTGAAGTGACAATAGTCAAGTAATTAATATGACCAAGTGATTTCCCAAATCATAGGTAGAACAGATTTGATTTAGGGATTTTAAATTTATTACACTCTCCCTTATACCATAGAAATGGACAGATGTGGTTCTGCAGATGTTGAGTGGAACTGCAGCTCCCATAATCTCACACTATTGTCCTGATCTGATATGTACTGTTAGTCAAGAGCATATGGAGGGCAATACTGAGGAAGATTACTGGTCCATCAAACCATGAACTGGCTACAGCTTTCCAAGGTCCCAATCAGAGGGCTTACTGCATTATTTGCTATGTGATCCTACTAGCTGGGGAGGCCAAGGATTGAACCTGCAATCTTCTACATGTATATATAGAAAATATTCTACTATCGATATAGCCCTCCCTCAATGGCCCTAGTGTGAGCAGAGAGAGACACCTCATAAATTGTTGTTCTTCTCTGTAACTTTTTACTTTCATTGTGAAAGCCCTTGGAGTGAGGAGGATTTTTAGAAGCCTAATTTAATCATTAAGTGGACTGCCTGCTCCAAAACTTACACCTGAATAGGATAATAATTGCCTTTATGGTTATAGAGATCTTCATACAACACTCCCGGACATGACTGACCAGGTTAGTATGTGACTCAACCATACTGAATTATCCAGCTGAAGAAAACATTGCATTATTGTATCGATGGAAATAAGAAATCAATAACCAAACAGAATCTGTTCATTTTACTTGGAAGGGCTGCCCTTGAGCAGCTAATGAATTCTTCCTATACAAATCCACACACAAAAGACTTATGGCTTACCATACAGACTCTGAGAAATAGAAACTCATAAATATAGTGCTAGATCTTGCACAGACAATATTAGAGAATGAAGACGAAATATTAATTTTGCAATTGCTTAAAGCTAACCTCTTGCAGTGATTGTATGCACACACGTGTGTGTGAGACGAAGGAAAGTCAAGTGTGCCAACAAGCAATTACATCCTTACTGAGAAAGTGCCATTTCACAAGTGCTGTTGGATTGTAGCTCCCATCAACCCTAGCAGCCTAGCCAATGGTGAGGATTCCCGGATGATTCAGTCAAATCATATTTGGAGTGCTACACTTTGTTCACCCTTACCATTTCGTAATGGTAAATGACTTTTCACCTTAAGATTACAAGCCCTGAATTTCAAAATGGACATGTA